ATAAGTGTGAGCCACCATGTGGTTTACTGGGAATTGAACTCAGGACCTCTAGGAAAAGCAAATGGTGCTCTTAACCTCTGAGACACCTTTCTAGCCTGTAAAAATATTTTTTATTCACCTGTTTATTTGTTGTCTCGGAGGCTTATTGCCTCTGTCTGCTAACCTAGGCCTAGTCTCGGAAGTTTCTAGCCTCTGTACAATCTAACCTAGGCCTAGAATGTTTTTTTTTTTTTTTTTTTTTTTTTCTTTCTGAGCTCTGGGCGGGCAGGTTCAACTCAGCTGTTCTGGCTCAAACTCCTCTCCCAGCTGACTTATTCAATCTGGCTTCACTCTTGGCCTCTGAATTGCTCTGCTTGGCCTCGAACTAACTCCAACAATCTTTTCTAATCTTTTGGCTCCTTCTCATTCTCTGGTTCATTTGGTCTTCACCTAAATTCTCTCTCTACAACCTGTCTCTCTATTAATATCCTGGCAAACTGCCTCCTTTCTCTCTCTATTGCCCCTTAAGTAGCTTCCCTTTCCCCTCTCTTCTCATCAGAGTTGGGCCTAACCTATTCTGTTAAGTCTTTCTCTGATTCATCACCTTTCTGCCACTCAATTTGGCATCATTTTCAAACATAGGTGCATGTCTACAAACTAACTTTGCCTTGTTTGGGATTAAAGTCAGGTACTGCCATGCCTGGACCTAAGCTTTTCTTTACCTGAAACTTGTTCTATTCCAAGCTGGCCTTGAGCTCAGCTTGGAATAGAAGCAAGCTCATCTGCTTGCCTCTGTCTCCCAGATCAAAGGCGTGTTTGTATTCAAGCTGGATCACACAGAACTCGAAGGTCTTTGGATGTGCTCTCTTGCCAGAGCAGCCATGTTCTGAATTAACACTCCTCTACAGCACTGCATCTCAGCATGTGGGAACTCTGCTCTTTTCTTCCTGAGTCTGGAGACTGTGCCTCCTAAACACCATAAATCCAGCCTCCCCCCTGACTCATTTCAAGAGCATATTGACTTCTCCAAAATGTCATTCAAGAAAACTTCCAAGTGTTGCAATTAGTCCCTAAATAGTCGTACTATTTTCTTCCATCTGGTGTATGTCCCGTATTTACATTTACTGTCTCATCTCCACAAAAATGAGAACATAATGCTCTTCTGCCTTGTGGAAGGTGCACATCGGCAGTGTGCAAGGCACACTTATGCTAAAAGGAGGTAAGTCCGATGCACCACAAACATGAAGGGTAATTATGAAAGTGTGAGCGCAACACTTATTTATTAGGGGTAGGAAGGTGGAGACCCATTTTGTAACTTCTGGGCTAATGAGCTCAGTTTAAAAGCATAGGCCAGAGAAACGACCTTTTCAGTGTGACAGAAAAACCACTGTCTAGATGTGCTTGCATCATGATACTTACTTTTCAAAGTGCTGTTGGTGTTGGAATCAACTCTGCTTTTCACATTTGATGCAAGAATAGTGCTTATGTTGGAATAAAACCAAACAGCAGTCACAATATTTGCAAAGCACCTGTATTCCAAAACAGGTGCTGTGTATGTATACATGTATGTATGCATGCATGTATGTATGTATCTGTCTATCTGTGTGTGTGTGCAAATACACATGGGTGTTTACACACATATGTATGCAAGAGAGATAGAGACAGAGAGAAAAAGAGAGAGACAGAGCGACAGAGACATAGAGACACCAAGAGAGACAGACAGAGACAGAGAGACAGAAACACGCAGAGGAAGACAGAGACAGAGAGAGACAGAAACACAGAGAGAGGCAGAGAGAGAGGGAAGGAGGAAGAGAGAGAGAGGGAAAGAAAGCAAGCAGCATGTCATAGTACATATAGAGGACAGAGGACAAGGGTGAGTTGGTTTTCTCTTTCCACGTGTAAGTTCCAAGGATGAAGCTCAAGTTGTCAGGCTTGTTGGCCAGTGCCCTTACCCATTAAGCCATCTTGCTGGCCCAAGACAAATATCTTTAATATTGCTTTAAATTGGAAACAAAAAATCAAATACTACCCTAGCATTCCATTTTCTTTTCTTTTTTTTTTTTTTAAGATTTATTTATTTATTATGTATACAATGTTCTCTCTGCATGTACACCTACACACCAGAAGAGGGCACCAGATATCATTATAGATGGTTGTGAGCCACCATGTGGTCACTGGGAATTGAACTCAGAACCTCTGGAAGAGCAGCCGGTGCTCTTAACCTCTGAGCCAACTCTCCAATCCTTTAGCATTACATTTTCAATTTCCACTAACAAACAAATTTAGTACAGAATGCATATTATACTGATCTCAATTTACTTCCTGACTTAGAGTAGATTTTCTGGGCGGATACCAAGAAGGTATCTTACTGTGTATGAAAATATACACAGGTATAAAAAGGTATAAAAGTCCCGTGAACTGCTGAAACCGCTTAGAACTTAGAGGTTGCTGGCCTTGGGCTGGCATTCCAAATCCCTGTAGTAGAGAGCAGGAAGATGTAGAAGGGTTTCTAAGCGTCAGACTATGTCCTGGGTCTCTCCTTCCAACTGTGCCTCCCATCTTCCGAGCAGGAAAGGAAGCGAGTGGAGAGGCGGACTTCTGTATTTTATGGGAAATAGAGAGGGAGTAACCCACCCAATTGTAAGGCTTTTTGGAAAGACCCTCGGGGGAAAGAGGCAGGAACCACACTGCTGGTTGGAAAGGTGCTGGCCTGTAGGGATTTTACCTGCTAATTCCAATCCTTTGAAACCCAAGTTAATTAGCTCAGTATACACGTGCAGGGAATATGGTCTGGACGAGTGTTTTTAGCCTGTTAAACATAAACAAGCAAATGGATTTCAAGATTTTTTTCAGCAAATGACCCCAACTCCAAATGGGAATGATTAAGAAAAACAACAAAGCAAAACATCAACTGAGTTGCTGACTTCCATTAAACTCAGGTAGACGGTACTGTTCAAACAACACACTCACCAAGACTTCATACTTTGAATGGTTCAAGGTTTGGAACAACACTCTCCTAAGCAGCACATTCACCACCTCCACTATTTTTGTCCTTGCTAACACCTTCTCAAAACAAATTCAGAAACTGAAATGAATACAACCCAGAGAATCGCACTCTCAGAATCTCTTTTCCTTATTGATCTGATTCCGGTGGCACTATTCTGCTATTTTCTCTGCAGCTGAAGTGCGATATTGAACTGCAGGATTCTAGAAGGCTTCTTCTAATAAGCTCTGGGCTGCTGATGGAGCCCCTGTCTCCATCAGTCATTCGATCGCTGTTAGTTGGACCCTCGAGGTACATAAGTATGCTCTACCGAAGCCCATCAACCGGCTGATCTCACTCTGCCCTCTGCTTTGGGCTTTCCTCACCTGGCCGGATAAAGGTTCATTCAATTTTCTCAAGGCAAGACGAGTCCTAAAAAGGGATGCATTTCGGCATGCAGTGACAGGAAAGAGACATGAGTTATCAAAAAGTACTGCTGGCCTTGCTTGGGATCTGGAGTGATTTTGCTAGGTTACTCTGAGTACTCTGACACAGGCAGAGGAGTAATTAATTCCTCTTTGAAAAGACTCTGCCCTATTTGGAGAAATTTCACAAGTGATACGAGTAGCTGAGACAGGTAATTCTTTTCATTACCGAAGGTGACTCAGTCAGTAGTATAGTAGTTAATGCTCATTAAAGACCCATCCTGCCTTATCCAGGAAGACAAGGGTCCAGGAATGACTGGATTTTAATGACTATATAAAGACCACGTGCTTCAAGGTTGAAAGCCATGTCTCTGAGATGTTGTCATTCGATAAACTGAACCACATGGGTGAGCCACAAATACTAAGAGCAGGAAAGGAAAGAGTGGCTTGGGGAGGGAAGCTTCCATCCTCCTTATTTAAAAAAGCTCAGCTGAAACAGCAGCACATTTAAAGATAATACCCAACCATGGAGAATAGGAAACTTATCCTTTTTCTCCCCTCTCCCAATATTCCATCCTCTTTAACAAAAAAAACAACGATTAGTCTCGACACTGCCACCCCTGAGAACAATTTAGTATTGAGACACAGTAAAGCAAGCCCTCTCTCACCAAGGCATTGTAAGCAGTCTAGTCATGGTTTCTAGAATGTTTTCTTTGCATGGCTCTTCCTTGGGTTAAAACACAGAGTGTGTACCAAAGACTTTCAAAAACATAATCTCACTAAACAGTTGAGAAAAAATAACAACTAAGGCAAAACAATTATAGTCAAAATTTTCACCTTTGCGTTCTCAGCTCATGTGTGGGAGGCAGGAGAAAGAGTCTCAGCACTTCGGGCTGAACCTACAATGAGGCTGCAACGAGCTGATTCTGCCCATAGCCATTGATACATCTGTATCTCTACATTGAGGGACAATCCTGTAGAACTAGCTACCCATCTGACATGGACATGGGTCACTGTTTAGCTATGGCTGACTCAAGTTTGTGAGCAGAGATCAAGGGACAGAGGAGGGTGATCACGTGTACCATGGAGGGAAGAGTGGGCACACGCAGCTCTCTTTTCAAATATCCGTGTGTCAGGGGGCATTGTTATTTCGAGCTGTTTAAGGTGATAATGTGAGGTGTTGCAACTACTCTCACTGGGGGAATTCTACGTAAGGCTGGGAGGAAATGACCTCACATGAAGCTAATCTTTTCCCCCCAAACTTTTGCTCTGTCATCCAACCAATTCGCATCTAAAACGTAGAGTCTCATTATTCATTAATGTTGTGACTTGATTCTGACCCAGTTTTTCTGCAAAGACTTTCTGAGCGCAGTGAGACCAGATGTAGCTAATTCACGGAGAACGAGTTTTAGTGGTCTATGTATACACCCATCTCCTAGAGGGGGTGGTTCAAGCTAGATCAAAAAAGCCCAGAAAACAGCACACTTTACAAAGTGGTAAAGTTCAGCGTAGGCATGGACAGTAGGCATCTGTCACGAGCCACTGTCCAGCACTTGAACATATTACCCGCTGTGGGCGAAAGGCACACACATCACAGGCTTTGAGTACCTTACCTGAGCCATCTGCCTCTCCAGCTTTGATCGGGGAATATCATCAAAGTAGTTTTCATTTCTTCTCCTCCTTGCATCGCCCTGCATGATAATGTGAGGAACGTCTAGGGAGCCACCAGTGGTGTAAGTGCTTTGGCTAAGTGATGGAGACAACTGAGGAGGACTGTGATTACCACTGGGTTCCTGAATGGAAATACATCATGAAATAAATACCATGCTCTTTGTGGCTAGCCTTTGGTTTCAAAAATTGTGAAATACGAACACAACAAGCTACTGGGGATGGAAAGTTGGGGGTAGGGTAAAGGGGAGAGGGAGTAGCTTTCATTCATCTGCTGGGATTGCTAACATTCTACTGTTATTTCCGGTAATGGTCTGATCAGGAACATAGTCCTGCCTCCCAGTGATTTCAGGGCAAAGACTGAAGGTATAATCAGGTGTTTTGTTTGTTTGTTTGTTTGTTTGTTTGTTTGTTTTAACCCAACACTCTGGATGATCTCAGGATGGAGGTTTATCTCAACGGGGCACCCCACGTGTTTACCAGGGGAGGAACTGTGGGCAATGCATCCTCACTGTGGTGGACACCATTACAAGAAGCTAACAGGGGACCAGATGGGTCCTGATCTCTACGGAAGTGTGGTGTGACAACAGGGCTGGGAAGTGGACACAGTATGGCAACATAGCAAGTCACGCGACGTACAGACTGCAGAGCAATGCATATGACAGAGGATGCTTCTCAACAGCAAAGACAACTCTAGCTGCAAACTGGCCAGAAGGAAGACAAGGCCAGTGAGGCCGAGCTCCAGTGCTCGCAATCCACTGGAGTCATCAGATCCTCCAGGCCACACCTTCCCGTGACTTTCTTCGGCTGAGTTAGATCCATTTTTTTGCTAGAATTTCCCCATCTTTAATTTGTTATTTTCCTAAGTCTCCTCTTGGGAATCAGGGTGACAGGCTCAGAAGGAAAAGGCTGGGAGCAGACTGGAAATGACTCCTCTGAATAGGCCTCTTGACGCAGTTAAACCAACGATGCCCAGATCTCCCGTCCTCCCACAAAGGGGGAGGCAAGATAATAATCCCTTTCTAGCCCAATTTGTCTGATTTCCTGGAGGGCCCCTCTCTTCTGGAGTGATAAGTATGAGTCTGACGTCTCTTTCCCTTATTCCCCAAACCCTAAAGCAGCCTGTAGCTATCCTAGCATATCCCAATGCCCCCAGTGGTCACTTTCTCCTGGCTCCCAGAGGGAGGACATCATCTCACAGGCTCTGTTCATTTTCTTCTTCAAAGCTGACTCCTGTCCTGTCCAGCCCCTGTCACACTGACTACAGCCTGTGGTTCCCTGAAGCAGTCTATCAGGGCCATTGATTTCCCCAGGGGCACATGCACGGAGGCCTATCTGCATCATCTGTGGCTACCTCTTCTGACATTTGCAACGGGACTGAGATGCAAGCAAGTGCAGGAGGAAGCAGAGAACTGAGCTTCTCAAGGAGACCTTTGCTTCCTAATGGGCTTCAGAGGAGATTGGGTGAGCTCCAGGACAGACTGGGCAGCTATGCTCTTTGTCTTTACCATCTTGCCATGGGATGGCTTCTAGATTTCTTTCTGCCCCTTCCTCCTCACTTTTCTTTTCTGTTTTACCTTTTACAGTTTCTCTACCCCATGTTTCTAAAATATGGCTGAAAGAAACAACTGCAGTTTACTAAATAAAATTTTAAGGTCTACATTCTTAATTTTTTTGAAGTGGGTAAAAATGGTCATTTTTTTTCATTTCTCGAAAAACATTAGACCCTGAGGTTAATTTTAAATTGCTTTTAAAAAAAAACTTAACTGTGGTTCTTGATCGATTACTTTTCTGTGGGTTTGAGGAGTCTGACAGAAACTCATTTCCTTTCTCTTGGAAGTGAGAGAGAGACTATAGGTGAAGGGGTGGTCTTTGAAAGGTGGGCGTCAGTCAAACTGAATTCTCTTATAATGCATCTGTAAGTCTCTGGATTGCATATAGTGAGCAAACCAAACACAATAGTTTTCTGTACAGGTAAGGCAAGCGATGAGGAAAACAGCCGGCATTTCCTCTCCCATGTCTTCAGCCGTCTTATTTCTCAACACACTTTTTGAGGAGAGTGGAAAAGAGGAAGATGGACGTGGCAGTGCTTACCCTGAGGGTGATGGACCGAGGGGGTTTCTGTGGAGGCTCGTCGTGCAGTCTGTCTCCCAGAGATGCCAAAATGCGTTTCCTGTGGCCAATCAAACTGATTTTTAAAACCTGAAACAACATGGATTTGGGTTAACTATTTTACTTGAGGGAAAAAAAGAGAATTTGTATATGCACTACAACACAAACAATACAAAGAGGCTTATGCAACATTAGCCCTCCCCTTCGAGAGACTGGGTATCAAATCAGGGGCACACTTCAGTCTAGAGATGGTGGAGGGAAAAGACTTGGGTAGAGAGAGCAGAGAGGGCCCCAGGGTCCCCACTCCACACTTAGAAAATGGCAAACCAGCTCTTGCTAATGACAGCCCCCAAAACCCTCTGCATTGCTAATGCCCTTAGCATGAAAAGCTCCCTCCAAGCCTCCTGGCTAAGGGGCTGGTGGAGTCTGTCCTTCTCTATCCATATCCTCCCCACTACCCGGGACTGTCAGTCATATTGGCCCAAGTGACTACTCCTGTATGTCTGCAATGCCATGTGCACAAGCACACACACACACACACACACACACACACACACACACACACACACACACACACACACACACACATACACACATCTTCACTGGGGTCCCTACATTTTCCCCTCCTGCCTCATTCCTTCCCAGTATGCTCTAGCATCTGCTTGAAATGTTTGCCTGGAGACTTTCAGGTAACCGCTTTTCTGTTACTCAAATGCTGTCTCCTGAGGAAGAGTTTCTCCCGCCGCTCCACTGAAAACTCCGTACCATTGCCCCATCAACTCAACCCTGTCATCTTTTCTTTTCTTTCTTTCTTTCTTTCTTTCTTTCTTTTTTTTGGCCATTTTTTGAAATGACTTTGTTGAAACACTTGTGTTACGCATCAGACCTTTCTAGGTGGGCTCCCAAGAGCAGGACCCCTGCACTTGTTCATCGCTGTTATTTCTGCAATGCCCAAAGCAAGCCTTGAAACAAGGTGGGTGGGGGGATGGAGGTGAGACTTATCAGGAAAAAACAGCAAGTTAGAGTTAGAAGAGCTGAAAGTACTGCTCCCTAGGGGTAACTTAGAGTCCAGGGATGGTGCTTGCAAGGACACTACTGCAGAAGCACCTGTGGAGTAGAAATCAAAGGGAGCCTTTGGCCCCCAGTCCTGTCTTGAAGTGCTGGACAGTCATCACCTTCGTCCATCTCTGGATGAAGGGCTTCTTGCCCTACAGATGAACTGTGGTGCACACAAGTTAAGTTACTTACCCAAGAGCCCTTGTGTGAAGACTGTGGGATCTGAATCAGGTTTGTCTGATTCTCCAGCTTGTTTTACTCAAAGGTAAATGCTGTGAAGCTTTGGGCACATCTCCAAATACCACAAAACAATGAATTATGAACACATTCATAACTATATTTTCCCCCTCTGTTTCTATGTGTACCTCAGGATGCAACAGCTCTTGACATGTACCTAGAGTCTAGCTCTGTAAATAACTTTTCCATTTCTATCAAGTTTTACAGAGCAGGAGCTAAAATTTATTATATATAATATATATATATACATGCTTACATAAATATATATTATGCTACCTTAAATTTTGCCTACTTGCTACTTATTGGTTGTCTTGAAAAATTTAGGTCTAAGTTTTTAAAAAATATTATTTATTTCATATATATGTGTATATGGGCTACATGATGCTACCTCACACATGGTGAGGGCAGAGGACAACTTGCCAGAGTTGATCTTCCCCTTTCACCATGCATTCCAGGGAACTGAACAATGTGAGGCTTGCAGCAAACACCTTTGCTTGCTCAGCCATCTTGCTAGGCCCTGATTTAGGTTCGAAATAGCTCTATGTCCTACTCCTCTTACATGGTAAAAGCTAACTAAGTTGAGTGCCCCGTAGCCCAGTGTTTTTTATAAACTCCCACTTTCCCAGGCTGAGTTTGCAAGTGTGATTCGATATGTATATCCTCTCTGCTAGCAATCACTTCACCTGGACATTCTCAGACTTTATTATGATTGCTTAAGATTCATGGAAAAAACATGGCTCAGAATATGCCAGGACTACACCAACCATGGCTGTCAGTTTGAGCAGGATACTGTGTTCTGCTTTTAATGCTGTCTTTGAGATGTTCTTTTCCAGTACACGTGATGGAAGGCTGACCTCTTAGATGCAGTGGGAATATAAATATATACATGAAACAAAGGCGCATATTGACTGTGAAATCTTTTAATTTTGCTGTGGCAGATAGTTCAAATCCCTTTAATCTTGGGAGAATCGTTTGGATTATTTCTCCCTAAGTTCCTCATCTTCCAGTTGTCCATGCAGGCGCCCATCTGCCATCCTTCTGCCCACTCACATAGCCTGGTGATGTCTTTCTGCATTTTTATTAGCCAGCTCGGCATTTCACTATGTGGAAAAGCATAGGGATTTCACTGTATCCTCTTTGCAGATTATGAATATGCTAATTAAGTGTAGTCCTGTGCTCATAACTCACAGGCAACATTACCTATTGGAGCCAAAGAAATGTGCTTATGTTCTTGTATTTTTTTCATTTTCTAAGCATCAAGATGAAAGATTCCTTCATCTCAGAAGATAGACAACACTAACCTTTCCCAAAGATATTTTGCAAGTCTAAACATACTACATTTTATTTTATTTTATTTTATTTTTTTACCTGCATGCATATCTGTGGACCACTTGCACACCTGGTATCCAAGGATGCCAGAAACAGGTATCTGATCTTCTGGATCAGGATATACAGATGGTTGTGAATCACCATATGAGTCCTAGGAATAGAACCTGGACCTCTGGAAGAGCAGCCAGTGCTCTTAACCAATGAATCATCTCTCTAGTCCCTTCTTATTCTCGTTCTCTGTTACTTTGTCAAAAGCTCCTACTGGATGTTATTCCCACTTGTTCTAAAATTCCTACTTCTTTTTTCCCTATCCAGTGATTGGACCCAATGCTCATGGTGCTATGTTGGGCTAGGAAAAGTTTTTTGGATTTTTGGATATCTTTAATAAAGGTACTCATTGTTTTTCCTGAAATACAAACAAACAGACCCAAGAACGGACACTAACAATTTCTGTAATTTCGCTCTTGTGGTTGGTTTTCTCTCTCAAACTCAAGTTTGAGACAAGTGACCTGGCTACTCTGGTTTCAATTTTCCATCAATAACATGAGGAGACATTGTTGCTAATGATGGCAAAGGTCATTGGAAAGATAAAGAGAAAAATTGGGAGGCTGGAGGTGGTGCTACATTCCAGTAATCTCATAACTCAGGAGGCAAAGGCATGAGAATCACTCCAAGTTCAAGGCCAGCCTGTTCCATGTAGTGAATTCTAGGCTCCAGGCCAGATAAGGCCATACAAAGAGAGACTGAGTGACTGACTGACTCTTTCTCTCTCTCCCTCTCCCTCCAATTCTCTCTCTCTCTTTCTCTATCTCTCTGCCTCTCTCGTACACAAAAGAAATAAAGGAAGAAGGGAAGTTGTAAGGAGAGCTGGCACACTACCTAGAGTATTTACCCCTAATGACTAGTGTTCATGCACAAGAAGATACATTGCACACTACCAGAAAGAAAGGTACACACCAACCCAGCTACAAACCCTTCAGTTTACAGTGGTGACCCGCTTGTAAGACGCACCAGAGCCATAAGTGGCATGAAGCTTGCAGGAGTAACCGACCAATACCTGATCCGACTTCAGGCCCACTTTACGAGATGGGATCTATCCCTCCCTTATACTGCTCATGAGAGTGGCCAAGAACCTGACACTAGATAAGCCTGGGACCTAGGGGAAAACCAAACACTAATGTCCTGCTAAAGTAATGCTGCAACAAAACGAGCCCTGATGACATTCTCCTATACTCAAAGATCAGTATCTTGCTCAGCCATCATCAGAGAAGCTTCCTTCTGCAGTAGATGGGAATAAATAAAGAGATCCACACTGGACAGAGTGAGAGACCTTGGAGCACTCAGTGCTAACAAAGGTGTCTCCATCACCCTCTCCTCAGGGCTCTGGAAATCTTTCAGAAGAGAAGACAGAAAATTGTAAGAAACTTGGGGGTATGGAAGACACCAAGGAAACAGGGCCCTCTAAACGCAGCAGGATCAACGCACACATGAACTCAGAGAGACTGTGGCAGCATGCACAGGGCCTGCACAGGTCTAACGCAGATGGGGGCCCAGCCCTGAGAGGAGATATGGACACAAGGCTTCATCTCTAAGCCAGATGCTGTCTCCAACTGATTACAGCTCACAAATGGAAGATTAGTCTTCGCTGATGGAGTCTCGCTTGGTATACACATCACTCTTAAGGCAAGGTGTCATGCCCCAAAATAGCCTGATGGTATTTTTTGGAGGTTCTTTTTCTCAATGCTTTGTCAGGGATAACCCCCCTTCCAGGTCTTTTATATATATATTATAGTTTCTGATTTTTTGTTTTAATAGAATTTCTGTGTGTCTAATGTGTTTCTTGAGATTTTCCTTTGGGTTTTTTTCTTCTGTTTGTTTTGTCCTATTCTGTTTAAAAAATATTGAATACTATTTAGATACAATATTTTATAATTATATTTTATATTATAATTATATAGAATAATTATTATAATTGTATATTATTATTATTATTATTATTATTATTATTATTATTATCCTGTCTATATCCAAAATAGATAGAAGAAAAAAGGGAGTGGGGCTGGAGAGATGTCTCAGAGGTTAAGAGCAACTGGTTGTTCTTCCAGAGGTCCAGAGTTCAATCCCCAGGGACCACCAAGTGGCTCCCAACCATCCATAGGGAGAGCTAGGTGTACATGCTGACAGAGCATTGTATACATAAAAATAAATCTTTAAAAAAAGAAGAAAGGGTGTGAGCTTGGGTAGGTGGGGTAGTGGGAAGGATTTGAGATGAACATGTTGTATTATAATCAGACTATATTGTATTAAAAGTTTATTTTCAGATTATAAAAAGAAGAGCTGGCACACAGAAGATGACACCTACACCACGCGTTTGCCGCAGTGACTGGGGCCCTGAGGATGCACAGAAACCTTGACCCAGAAGAATGCAGACACGGTCACATTCACAGAGCTAATCAAACGAAGACGCC